AAACCGAGTAACTCACCGGACGAAAATTTGATAGCGTTTTGCAATGAATGAGGATGTATTAAGTAGAAAGCGTCCCGTGAACCTGTTAAACGATTTTATTGGGCGTAAACTAGGGCTGCCTCGTGGAAATTGAAAAACACTTCGAAGATCGTGCTCCCAAGCTTGAAATCCAGAGAACGACGAAACTGCATGTGTATGCATGAACCTTTCCCTGTCGTTGGTGTGGCTGCCTGAACGTCTTATGCAAGGTTATTGGACACAAACTAAACGTGCACCCTGTGGGCTCTGAAGGATAATTTCAAAATCCCCCACTCAAGTTTCAAGCGTGTAGCTCCACCTAATATCGCGCCCGTGGGTTCGCAGGCTCAACACCTACCTAGCTTTCTTCGTTTTATCCCCCAAGAACTTTTCTGGCACAATAGACCCCTTTGAAAATACGGTACTCTGTTGGCAACTGTGAAATGGCGGACTAAAGCCTCAACGTCACGGCGCACTGGGAAAAACACACCCACTAAAAAAGGTGATGATCGCGGTGGCGTTGCACTTTCGACGGTGTTTGATTGCCTCGTCGACTTGTAGTGTTGGCAGCGCTCTGACGTTCGCTATCTTATAGAATGACTTGCACGTTCCTCGATGCAGTCGCACCATCATTGTGCAGTGGTTCCAACTCTCTAACTCAGGGACGTGACGTCAGCGTCGAATCTTTCGCCAGAGTGCCGAAAATCGCCCGTGTCGGTATGGAGCGCGATCAACGGCGCGAAACCCGCGAAGTGTCCCACTAACTCCTATCGCAGTAAAAGAAAAAAAAATCCTTCCCAAATGTTTGCACGGTCCCCTTTAAGGCCTTGTGTAACGATGCTGCGTACTAATGTTTCTCCGTTTAAACACGCTTCTTGTCACTTGCATGGCCAAAGCATACTCGCACGCAGCGCCTCTGACCATGAGGCATCTTTATCGTCGCGTAATTTGAGGAATATTAGAGCTGACCTGTTTTTTGTTTTTTTTTCAGTCTTTTTTTTGCAAAACTTGATGATGCAGTTATGGGGCCGGGTTGTCAACAATGCGATCTCCGGAATCTCGTTACCATGCTTTGGAATTGACGCCACTAGAATGGCACCTCAGTGTATTCTGTATTGCCATTTCACTGGCGTCTATTCCAAACGTAAGGAACGCCCGATGACGAGGGAGCCAAGCGTTCACATCGGCAGACAGTTTTCTTTTGAAACCTTTGTTCGCCCGGGTAAAAAATCACACCGGGCGTGGTCACGCGGTATAGGTAGGGTAGAACACGGGAATCATGCTTTCCCGCCCAGTGAGGATGGTTGTATTGTCACAGTGGGCTTTGAGATGATTGTAAAACTGAAAAGAAACGTTTAATTAGATGTACTTGTGCCGACAGACCTAAATGCTAGCTACTACGCACCTTACGTCAGAAGGGCGGCTGTTTGAAAACAGCCCGTATCCGCGAATTTTATACACATGGTAAGTTCCTGAATGTTCGGAAGCAGAATACTCGGTGGAAACCGAGAATGAGCTGGAACTTTCCAGAAGAGCATAAAAGTATAATATAAAGAACCGTGTCGATCGGTGTTTACACCTTGTTGACCCGCGTGGGAACCGAGTATTTTCCTCACTCCGCCACGCACATCTACAATATTAGTTTAAAAGGGTACGGAAACTAAGTGACGTGAACACGAGCCCTCTATTTCTCGCTTCGAAGTCGGCCAGCGAGAAGCGCAATGCGTGACGCGCTTTCCACGTCAAGAGTTCCTGCAGGGCCAAGGGTACTGTAGTTGCGAGCGTTGCCGCTTGGCGGTGTCAACACGGGACAATCTCGCCTGGTCCTAATATTTAAGAACTCTACGCCCTATGACCTAAACATAGCTCGCCCGCCACGTCATTCGCGGCCATGCCTGTATTTTATGTGCTACGAGCATAAGGTTCACCGTGTTAGTTTCAAACCGCATAAATATATTAGCTAGAAGGAACCAACAAGAAGAAATAACCGTCACTATACGCAGCAATGGCGACATCTGCAAGTTGTGTATATAAGGTATTCACTGAGTGGCCATATTTCAGCGTGTTAGTCACAGTGCATTCATGGGAGGAGGGGGGGTGGGGGTCGGCTCGGCAGAGGTACTCGAATCCTCAGATCAAGCTCCTGCCTATCGCTTGCGGAAAACGCCCATATTGATACTGTGGCATGCACGTTGCGGAAGCACTGTGCAAGCTTTAACATGTTTAAAGTAGTAAAGTCATTAAAGGGGTACTCTGGCAATCGTTTTTAGCTGCCCCAACTAACTAAATTTATGAGTCCCCTCCCTTTGCCCTTTCGAGTATGCTGTTTAGCATCGGGAAATTCAGAATAGTTATTGTGAAATCGACAAATGAAAATGATGCCAAAACCAACATTCAAATATACGCGCTCTTTTCAGTGCCGTGACGTCAGTGGAAGGCAGACTCGCCAATCGAGCTGGCGGTCTAAAATATGAACAATGCCGAGCATTTGTTTCGTGCTGCTGCGCGGCTGCTGAAGCGATCTTCCAAAGCATTTATTTCACACAATGAAACTGCTTGTAATCAGTTGGGAACAAATCCTGCCGTCAAAAGAGTAAACCCCTGCCTGCCGCTGGCGTTACTTTTGGTTGTTGCCTGTAGAGACTTTCAGATTGAAAAACACGGTGAGGACCAAAACTGTAATTTGGATAACTTAAAAAAAAAAAAAATTTTGCCCAATATTTGGGATACTATTTGAGCGATTTATTTTGGTGTAGTCTCGGAAATGTTCTGCCAAATCGGCACATTCCAGACTAAGTGACTCCACGAGCGAGCCATACTGCCGCGAAACTGGACCTACTTCTTAGGAACTCAAAACGCGGCGGCATTTCAACGGAGCTTCATAGACCACCACGAGGCTCAAATTTAAAATCGGCTAACACCTTTTAAAATACGTTTTCTTGACTTTTATTGCGGCAGTCCAGAAACACTAGTCTAGAGTTTCTTGGCTGACAGCACTGCATATATTACGTATAAACAAAGAAGTAAGCGTAAACACTTCGTTTCCGTATACTCATTTAATAAATATATGATTTCCTTCTCGATCTTTACTTCATTTGTCCTTGTAGTGTTTGCGTGTTTCTTTCGTCTGCCCTCGTTGATTTTCGATGCCACGCGCGATCAATCCGTGTAGGTATCGCACATTCCGTGATCAAGTGGGCGCGGGAGGTGAACAACATTAACCGCGCGCATCTTCTCAAAAGGAGAGCCAAGAAAACGAAGGAATAAAAGGCGCACCCCAAAGAAAATCTTTATTGTGCTAGCTTGCAACCTGCTAGCGATACCGCGTCATTCTTCTTTATAAGAGGTGGCATGATAAAAGACGTTGAACTTTTTAGGCTCGAATATTTTTTCTTTATCAGGTTGTTAGAAGCGGTTTCATCTTTGGGTCAAACACCATTGGTGTTATAAAAAGAGGATTTGGATCGCTACAGAATCAATTACTTCACCCAGTGAGCAAACTCCGAACTTCCAGCTGGTGGGACGCAATTCGTAAGTAGCGCAAGTTCTTCGAGCTTACTTGAATTGTGGTCAGTCCTTACTTCAAAAGTTCCAAAAGAAGTGTTTTGTTAATATATATACTATATGATTTCTTGACAATAAAAATAGCTTCCGAAAAATCAGACGAGAAGTAAGATTTGAACCACCATTTCAGCGCAAGCACGTAGCTAGGGAGAAGGCGGGCATGGGCCCGACCCCCCCCCCCCCCCCCCCCCGAAATCTTTCATTTTGCTGGGACCTCCTCTCCTCCCTTCCCCACATACAGTATTTTGTCATGGGCGCCCCCCCCCCCCCCCCCCCCTCTATCCCGGAACAAAATCCTGGCTACGTGCCTGTTTCAGCGATCCTCACCCACTGGTTCAGCCTAAACATTTTTGCCGGCGTTCTAGGGGATCAACTCAATTACCGGTTTCGGTTAAAGTGCCCGAATATCATAATTTAGGAATGCAGAGAAGGCAGGAGGTAATTAAAACAGAAAATGTGATGAGCTTTTCCGTTCACTTAATTTTTCCGGGTGTTCTATGCTACCTTTGATAAAAAAAAAATATAATCGTGCCGCCACCAAGATGTACAACGCGTTCGAGCCGGCACGAGCGTAGATCCGAAAAAACCTCAAAATTCCTCTCGTTGCAAGGTTTTCTGGGATTTTCCGGAAAGGCCTATTGAGGTTTGTGTGTTTCGACAATGGCAGCAATAATGCTGTACGTGTTTTCGGGACGATATGACTTTCAAGACTAGGGGAACCGCAAGCATACTTGTTTCTATCTCGAGTACTCCACTCATGATACTGTATTTCAAATCCTTTTGGTTGTAATTCGGTATCGTGTAAACATATTTGATCGAAAGCATTTGGTACTCTGTCTTCCGTACATTTCTCAGTATCTGGTACTCATTATTTCAAATGCATTTTTTTTTTGTTTGAAAAACATAATCGCGGGAATTTATTACGGGAATAGGAGTCAGCGCACCCCAGCGCTAAGTTTAGCAATGGCAAACTTGAAGCGGAAGCGACCAAACTAAGAACAGGAAACATGCCAGGTCTAAAAATGCAGGCTCAAAACGCCAACAAAATAACAAATAGAAACAAAAAATGAGGAGAGGCCACCAGAACAAAAACAAAGTGATTTTTTATTTTTATTTATGTTTGAACTGGCAAAGGCAAGAATGTCGATTTGTTCTTCCAGTCCGACACTCTCAGGAACCGCGGGGGGAACGGGCATAGCTCCACCCTTTCATGAAGAAATAGATTGCAACAGCTAGAGTAACTTATATACTCCGCTTGCTCCGCAAGCGGAGCATATGTTGCAAGCAGAGCATATACATTTACTCTAGTAACAGCAAAGCAGGAAACCAGATATGAGCCATCAGGATGTAGTTGCATTTCCTTTTCATGTGGGAACATTAATTGAATCCGCGTGTTTTTGATCTAGGTGGATCACATTATGAAGAACACTGGTCTTTCCTTTCCTATCATAAGAGACGCAAGGCTGATTGTGGCAATGTTTGTGTTATTTGCAATTTGTAAACCAATTGCAGCTGAAGTTGGTGAGTAGAAGATTCTCTGTCGTTCTTGCAGTTTAGACGCCGCATATAATCTAATAATTGGACTTCTATGTCGTCTTGGCCTGGTTGTAGTTACCCCTGATGCTGAAAGAATAAAACAAAAATGGCATGATTACGTGTTGTTGTGAGGCTGCATCAATATCTACAACGGACAAATAAAAGCTCATACAAAATTTGTCCACACCCTGCCCCGAAGAAGGCTATCGTGTCTGTGAAGGTAATTATTTCGAGGGCCATTTTAACTCCAAATCGAATTTTCACTAATTTATTCGGATGCCGGATAATTTTTTTTAATTGTTTTTTTTTTTTTTTAGCTGCTGATTTTTTTTTTAGGGACGCTAAACTATTTTTCCAGCTAGTTTTAACAGTGACCCGAATTAACTCTCAATGGTCATAGAACCCAGAAGAGGAATTTGTTTCCACTTGAATCCGTTAACGCAAAGCAATAATAATTGAACACTGCCTTCCTCCTCATCAAGACAGCGAAAGGAGAAATCACGTAAACCGTAACTAGAGCCACTAAATGAGCTACGCTTAGAATATTGGCAATCCGTTCCCCGATCTGCTAGTGGGCGCCGCCATCTTTGTGCTTAGTGCCGAGCAGAAGCAACTGTCGATCATCACAATTAATAAATGCGAATTAAATGCTGAGTACACTGATAACGTGCCCCGCCTTCTTGCTAACGTGGTCGGCATTCCACGACTGGCAAGGCGCCAGGCGCTCACTGTGACGTCTTTGAATAATTCCGCTTTCATTGACAGATCGAAGTAAAATAATGTAGGCTTGTCAACTTTGACAATGACGGGCTTAAAAAGGTGCGTCGAACCCAGACTTGTACGTAACGCGTTACAAGTAATTGATTACTTGTAATCAATTACAGTTAAGTGTAATTTTGTAACGCTTCAATTACATTTGTCAAGCTGTAACGCTCGGAGTAATTCAATTACTTTTTTTCTGTAATCAATTACAAAATCAATTACACAATTACCAATAACATTTTTCATTCCACAATTTTTTTTTCTCACAAAAATCAACATAGTCACTCAGCCATGGAGCAAAAATGATTGACATTTTTTTAAGATCTAAAAAAAATAAAACTAGGATTAGTCGGCAAATCCTTTTTTCTTTTGCGCCACGCTCTTCTACAAGCGCGCCACCAGCCTTGGCTGGGGAGTTCCGGATCTCGTTGCAGATTGCTGATAAAGTCGACGGGAAGCGGGAACTCGCTATTGACTTTTTAGTGGGCTTTGTTCCTTAGGTCGACGCGTCAGCTACACGACAAGGTCCGGGTCTGAAAACAAAAAAGGGAACAATAACCAAACAAAATTGTGTACGCAATATTTTACTGTGTATTTGTGTATTTCTGTCATCGCAATAAGAAGTAACGTGAAAGTAACTTGAAAAGTAATCAATTACTTTGCAGTAATTGTTCAATTACTTCTGGGAGGCAGTAATCAGTAACGGTAATCGGTTACTTTTTTGACTGTAGTAATTGTAATTGTAATCAGTTACTTTTTTTCAGTAACGTGTACAAGTCTGGTCGAACCTAACCCGAACCCTAACCGAAAATCGGAGAAAAAGAGTTATTTTTGACCTACCCGCAACAATACTGAAACCGATATCATATATTTGATGTTAAACAGGAACGGGAACAAAGCCATCATTTCCTGTGGCGGTTACCGGTTCATTGAAAAATGGTTTGGAGTAATAAAATGCAAACCGCGTTTCTTGCTTTTCTTTTTTTTTATTTCGGAGGAAGGGGGGCGGGGAGGGGGAGGGAGTAGCGACGTGTGTTTGAGGTTTAGTGTTAACTAAAGGCCCTTTCACACACCTGCAATTGCTTGGGACAGAATTCTTGTAACTTTTGCTACAAGATAACAAACACGCTGGAACGCTGGCGCCATCTGTAAGCTAACTCTCGAACTGCGCCTTACTAGATTGAGGCTTTTGCGTTAATATTAAAATCAAAAGTAAAAAAAAAGGAAAGAGAAAAACTAAGTTTTTTTTTTAGAGTAGAAAATACACGAAAATGGCAAATGTTCCACAGCTACCTGATAGATGGCGCCAGTGTGTTTTCTCGTCATAGATTTTAAGACGTGTTTAGGCACATTGCTGTACGAAGTCGCAGCTGTGTAAAGCTGTGTTTGGGAGACACTAAACAGTCATTCTGGGAGTGAAGAATCAATTTTTGAGAAATTGAATTAGTAAGTCACGTGACCAAAGAGGGAGGAGGGATGGGGAAGGGGTAGAGGGATGAATGGGGAGGGGAAGGGAGGCAGATGGGGAGGGGAAGATGTCACAGTAGGAGGGTAAGGAGTCACAGTAGGAGGGTAAGGAAAGGGATTGGGAGGAGAAAAAGGGAAGGAGATAGATATGGGGAGACGAAATATACCATATCCGAAATGCACAGTGCCATCTAAAGAGGCACCGAAGCGCATGCTCCGTCTAACCAGATGGCTACGGCGCAGGCAAACGCCAGGTCGCGAAAACGTAGTTCTGAAGAATCCTTCGCTCGCGCAAGCACTCACGCAGAGAGAGCGTTTTCGAAAACCAGGCGCCCGCGCCCGTGCCTTTGCCGGCACTCAAAGACAAATTTCGATCAGTCTATCTATGCTGGAACGCAAACTGAATGATGTAGATAACTGCATCGGGCACTGATTGGCTCTTCTCTCGGGTCACGTGACATGACGTTGAAATGTAGTTTTTCCCTATGCAGTACGGGCTATGCTCGTAAAATGATGCAGTTGGTGGTGACGTCAAAATATCGTCACGATGCACTTTGACGATGCAGTTAACTGAGTGGTCGATGCGAAGCCAAAGATCAATCTGCATCGTAAAAAAATGACGATCCTAACATATGCATCTCTACTGTTGGGTTCGCCAGCGGATCGAGTTTTTAGAGATCACCGGGATGCTTTCGAGACGAGCGATGTGAGGTTTGTGGGCGAATACCGGCTGACCAAACGGGTGACTCGCTGGCTGTGTGACCAGCTTCGCGGTAAGCTCCAGCGTTGTCTTGAAGGGCCCCGTGTGCTGACGGTCGAACAACAAGTCCTCGCAGCTCTACGCTTTTACGCCACTGGTGGCTTGGAGGGAACCGTCGGGAGCGACGAAAACATTGGTGTTCTCCAGTGCTCTGTGAGTCGCGTACTTGTTGATGTCACCAACGCTATCATCGATTGCGTCGGATCGAAGTGGCTGTGTTTCCAACAAATTCAAGCAGAGAAGGCGCTCACAAAGAGGAAGTCCTTTGAACGATGCAAGTTCAGCGGCGTCATCGATAAATGTTCTAAATACTCTTACACGATTTAACACGATTGTGTTTTCATTTGAGTGCACCCCATATAAGCGATTTGGCTGAGCGAAATGCCAAGCAAGCAACGGTAACAGGCTTAACTTGAGCTAGTTCGTTCATACTTCAGGTGGATAGAGAGAAATATATGCTTTATTTTAAAGCAACTACTTCAGGTTAGGCCAGCTGAACTAGAATAAACATACACATAAAGAAAAGACCATACACACCGTGGGACTAACAACTGACTTTCTTCTTCCCCCTCTTCTACTACGAACCCAACTTGAGGGAAATATTCTCTTCTTTTTTGCTTACTACTTCACCGAAAATTTAACCCCCGAAGGAACATTTTTTTCTTTCTCGTGCAGCACGAGAGAAGTTGCACTAACGCTCTCAAACATAGTCAACAAGTAAAATTTGTCGTTAGTTGTTTATACAGCAGGAGTTTAGTCTGCCTGAACATGGCGACATTGTTACCCACTGTAGATAAGCAATTTAGCCAGTGCAGCACGACTGCCAGCCCGGGGTCTTTAGCGTGCATCACGCAGTACACGACCGCACGCCGGTACGATGCTCATCCAGCAGATCGAAACGGGCAGGAGCGAGGATTGAACCCACGATCCCGGGGTTCTGCAGCGCGAGCTTTCGCTCCACGTGCTCCGAGCTGGTGTGCGCTAGCCTACTCGGCGATTCTCCGAAATTCCCTGTAGGGAAAAAAAGAACGATGTAGTTTCAACTCAATCGCCACTGTTCGGCGACGTCACCGGACACGTCACGGTGCAGTTCTCTTCCGATGTAGTTGGTTGGCGATGGAGATTAGGCTCCTCCCACCGGCGACGTCACGATGCAGTTTCTCCACCGCTTTTTCCAGCATAGACAGACTGAAGTGTACGTCCTTCATGTTGCTTACGGCGAGAAACCAGCGTTAGGCGGGGCGACGACCGCGCACATGCAGAAGAAAATCGCAAAACAATGCTAACCCTTAGCTCGCAGGTGTGGGTGAGGATCGATGACGGTGAGCAGTAGGCCTCGATTGTTACCGACAGCGCTACGAAATGGACAAAGTGGAGGAATCTCGAAGAAACAAAAATGGCAGTGCACAAATTGTTGCCAGACGCTTGAAAAACTTCGCATGTGGTCTATTGGAACCAAATATTTTACTAGGAAACTATTTTTCGACATATGTCGCGTTACGTAACCTTCCTCGCTAAATTTAGTGGGAAAACTGAGTTGGTGTGTCACGTGACGAGGGCGAGAGGAAGGAAAGGTAAGAAAAGGGATGGGCAGAGAAGGGAGAGGGAGGGGAGCGAAGGGAAGGAAGGCACATGGGGGAGGACACCCTAGGAGGAAAGGAAAGTTGGGGAGGAGAAATTGGTGTCGCACGTTACGTGTATTTTCCCGCTGAATTTAGTGGAAAAACTGAATATGTGTACTGGTCATGTGTCGTCGATTTTTCTCGCTAAGTGTATTGGGGAAGCTGGATTTGTGCTTAGGGCATGTAATGTAATTTTTCCGCTCTATCCTGTGGGAAACTGACTTGGTTATAAGTCACGTGGCGTCAATTGCCCCGCTAAATTTAGCGGAAAGCTGAATCGATGCGCAGTTGCCTTAAAGTAATCACTTTCCCAATAAATTTAGCGGAGAAACGAATTGGTGTTTTTGGCCACAATGCGGCATTTTCCTACTAAA